CGCACCAATAGTGCTAGTGTGAAAGCCCCCTCAATGCATTCTCTGATGTGGATAGAGATTCCATTCCAGCTTCATTCAGTGGTTGGTAATGCTCTCTTCACATGGCCTGATCCAGGAACTTGATAATCTGCTAGATGTGCAGGCAGCCTTATTTGTCATCTAAGTTAGTTTTCTGCCTCAGCACAGGATGCTGCAGTAACAATGTGCATCAGAATCATCTGGGACATTCCAGAACATCTGGGCCTTTTGTACACTCTGTCTTGTTATTCTCTTGTTATTTCCACCCACCTTGCTATAATATAGAATGTTGTTATTCAATGATACAAATTCTTTCTACTGAAGCCAATGCTATCAGTCTGGAGGGGCAATCATCTCACGCAGCATACAAATATATACATTGCGTGATGGTGGTATTTCTGGCTTTGACCCACTTTCTTCTGGGCATTTGAGGCTGTCATGTGTTTTTCAGGATGGATATGTCTCATACATAAACCATCCAGGGGGAATGCATTTGTTCCCCAAGTGGAAGTTAGTATGGCAACGTTTGCATTGCTAAGGGCGGTGTGCACATCCGTGGTCAATTGAATCTTCTCACAAGGCATGGGTTGACGCCCAGAGAATAAAAGTTGCATTTTCAAACTGTGGGTCTGATTTGGCAGAGGTGCATCTGTGTGCGTTGAGCAAAACAACTAAGTGCCACCTTAGGTTCTCTTGGGTCTTCTCCATCCCCTTGCATAAGCTACGGCGTAGGTCCGACGCAGAAGTATAAATCAGCCTTTAGTGTTATCTAAGGGTGTGACTTTGGAGGACATTTGTATGGCAGCCGGCTTGGCCTCTCTGCACATTTGGTCAGATTTTATCATATGGATATGGCCTTAACTCCTGGTTTCCAGGTTTTATCTGTATGAACAGGTGTCAGTTCATATTCTTCTACCAGTCTGTGCATATGATAGCAATTTGAAGCAATTTGTATAAAGCCCTAGCTATAAGCTTTACTTGACTTAATGAATCCAAAAAGAAATGGCACTTCCAGTTCATTCACACTTGAAATAGGGAGTAAAGACCTTGGTTAGCTGGTTCAGGTGTGTTTGATTTGGGTTGAAGCTCCAGAAACAGGATTGGACACCCTTAATGTTTACAAAGAAAAACGAATGGCCCTGTCCCTAATGGCATTCTTCATGTGCACTTGCGGTCTTATGGACTTACAATGGCAACAGATATGGACAATATATCCATAAACATATAGAACAACAGTGAAATCAAATAGTAGTTTGCATTAAGCATGCAAGGGTTCCTGCATATAATGACATGTTTGTGCACTTAGGAGTAAGTACATCGGAAAGACTTTGAAGACGTGTCAGTCAGCAGTTCTACAGGTTACATAGCTTCAAAGACTGCCACAAGCAGTGACTGACAGGAAAAGAGCTGTGCAGCAAGCACAAGGTTTTGCTCATGTTATCTCAAGATCTTTTTGAGGTGAACACATGCACTGTCTCACTTTTATCCACTCTTATATGAGAACTTGAACTGTGGATATGACACAAACACAGATAACAGACCAACATAGCAAGGCATCAGTAGTGATTATCTCACCACAACTACCATGTGAGAAATACTACTGTGTGTAATCTTGGTTAGACCATCATAGATTTTATCATCACGGTATCATCAATGTTGTAATGTGTTGTTGGTATTTCATCATTTTATCATCACAAAATATCATACATTATCTCTAGCTGGTGTATATACCATTCAAAAGTTTAGGGGGAAAAAAAAAAAAGTTACAAATGTTACAAAAGAATCCTGAAAAATAAAATGTAACGGTTTCCACAAAAATATTGGGCAGCACAACTGTTTAGTAATCAGAAATGTTTCTTGAGCAGCAAATCAGTATATTAGAATGATTTCTGAAGATCATGTGACACTGAAGACTGGAGTAAAGATGCTGAAAATACAGCTGCGCGTCACAGAAACATTCACTTGACAAATCCAACTTACTGATCTACTATTTAAGATTCTTCTTTTACTTCTTCTGAGAATAACTCCTAGAACTCTCAAGCTATGACCACCAAACTCAACCCAGACCTTCAGGATGTTATGACTGCATGCTGTATGCTATCTTTCAAATCTACAAAAAAAAAAAATAAATCCCATAGACTTTCATTGAAGTAGTCAAAACTTTCACACAATAATTCTCACAGAGTGTTGTATCTGTATATTTATCTGTCACAAAAAAATCCTAGCTTAGGACATGCTATAATGTGCTGAAACATGCTACAAACATGATAGCAGCATGCCAAAACTTTGATTAAATAACTCTTAAGTAGTTCACTTCCAGAATGAAAATTCTGTCATTTACTCACCCTCCTCTTGTTCCTAACCTGTATGAGTTTATTTCTTCTGTTGAACACAAAAGAAGATCATTTGAAGAATGTTGGTATCTGAACAGCGGAGTAGGAAAAAAAAATACTATGGAATTCAACAGTGCCCATCAACTGTTCAGATACCAACATTCTTCAAAATATCTTCTTTTGTGTTCAACAGAAGAAAGAAACTCATACAGGTTAGGAACAAGAGGAGGGTGAGTTAATGACAGAATTTTCATTCTGGAAGTGAACTTCTCCTTTAATATTCAGTATTAGGTTACATCCACCAAGTTACAGACCTTCATATCCATGTATGACACATATATGAGAAGAGGTGAACTTAAGTCATTATCTATATGCATTGCATTTCTAATGCATTTATGAATAAATGAATCAAGAGGAAAAAAAAGGTTTTATCAATGACCCAAAATCCATGAACATTTATGCATATTCTCTCCACAGTGAGCTACTGTATGCCTGTAAGAAACTTCTGCAAACGTGTGATTACATACAAGCACAAATGGCAAGTAAAGCAGAGTTAGTGTGCATTAAGAGTTTGGTAGGCGTCTATATCTGTGAGGATATTCTTCCCACGAGCCTCACCCACAGTTTTCTTTGCAATCACACCTAGATAGAATTACAACAGTCCCCGAGAGATCCACATCAAGACAAGACAAATGAGGCTGGGTCAGCCTGGGTCTTTCTGTGTGAAACTAGATTTGCATTACCCGAAGGAAATGTTTTCAAGTGCAGCTTTGAGAATTTATATCCGTGCGCAAATTAAATGTTGCATTAGTGTGTATCTTGTGACCAGTCAGCTACATTCAAGAATGAACACAATTAGCATACAAAACCTTTTTTTTTTTTTTTACACAAAATAACCTACCTTATATAAATATAACTTACTGTATGCATAACGCATACCGTTTCACATGCTATTTCTAAATGAGTAGTTATATAGTGTACAGTGCAGCGAGTTAGACCCCGAACCGCCGCTTTGCATTATACGAGGAAAATGACTCTAGTTACACATTAGCCAGGAGCAGGAGACGGATCACAATTCAGCATCAGAATGAACGTGCTGGTGGAGTCTGTATGTTGAGCAGGTAGTAATTACAGTCGGGGTTAGTGGTTTAGGACAAATCCAAACCAGAATGAGGAGCATGAATACAGATCCAATGCCGTGGCTGGTTTGGGTTACACTGCCTGAGGAGGAGAACAGCTGCTAAGCACAGCTCTGAACAACCTGTCCTACAGGTGTGAGTCAGTCACAAACCAGTTCTGCGTCATCTCCTACATTCATTTCTCTGTCTCTCATCTATTCAGTGCTCTAACAGGAAGACTGTTTTCCTCTATTTGTAGCGGTGTCTGCAAGCATGGCTATCACTATTGCTCAAATTAGTGTTTGAACGAACCCCTATCTGGAAGTGTTTGGCTTCTAATGAAGAATAGCTCAGATCTTGTGGCTTGTTGAGGAGAGCCGTGTTGAAGCACAAACACTAAGGGTGTGTTACTGTAAATTTAGCAAAGTTCGGGGGATTCTGTGCAGCCAAAAAAACAACAACACAAAACTTACATTGAAAATGGGTGCGATGTAAATCCTCAAAAAATCACCATTTGTGAGCAAAAAAGTCCAATGCAATAACAGTAATTAGCATTTTCAGGATAAAAGAAGATCTTTTTCAAACACATTGTTAGGGTTAAGCCTACTAATCAGGAATGAACTGGATGGTTTGGTTAAGTAACAGAGATTACTCTGTTTCACACCCATTTCTACATGCATTCTAGTTGACTCGCCAAAAACAAAAACAAGAAAAAAAAAAAGAAACAGACGTACAAAACTCAAACCTTTTTTTATTAAAGTCTATCGCATGAATTATTTATATATATTTATAAAAGTTCTACAGTGACAGAACTGGCACATGATCAGACAACAGTTAGTTCGTTCATTCGTTCTCAATGAACAATAAAGAGCACAAGAGAAATATACACGACAAATTCCAACAGATACACTGTTTCTCGAGCCAAGGGTGTGTGTGTGTCTCTCTGTGTGTGTGTGTGTCTAAATGGAATAAATGTCATTTGGAAGAACAAATAAATACATCACATTTCACTTGTGCATCCTCTGCATAAATGTGTAGCATGCTTTTCACGTCAGCCTCATCTACCAGCATACACATGGATTCTCGCACGCACACAGCAGATCACACAGCTCAGGTCTGCTGAATTGTTTCAAGCGAGGGTGTGTTTTATTTTTGCTGACAGAGAGTGTGTTCATCAAATCTGGAATACTGGCTGTAGTGTGAGGTAAAAACACTGTGTATCTATGACTGCAGCCACATCTAACATTAAACACACATCCTGAGCACACGTCTTTCACACCGGGCCCAAAGCACTTTAGCACCAGAGTAGAGAGCATCAGAGTGTGTTTCAGTGGAAATGCATCACCGTCTGGAGTCGTGTAAACCTTGTGTTCAGCACGCGCACACACACGCACACACACACACACTCTCTCACACACACGCACACAGACACACACACACACGCACACAGACACACACAATCTCACACACACACACTCTCACACACACGCACAGACACACACACACACGCACACACACACACTCTCTCTCACACACACGCACAAAGACACACACACACACGCACACATTTAGTGTCTCTTTTCTCATCCACATGTACTTTCAGCTCTGTACAGCATGTTCATGTTCATTTCCTCTGGCCTATTTCTCTCTGTTTGTCTGCACACAGAGATGCTGACAGGGCTACAATGCTCTCATGAGAAGGTCAAAGTGGATCAACATCAACTAGCATTATGGAGCCTCTTGTAATGAGAAAGATCATTAAGATGTTTTGCATTAAGATTTTAATGAATATTAAGCACATTAACCCCCGCCTGCATTTACCATGATGATTCAGGAGGACCCCTGTACAACAGTAATGACTGTGTGATCATTAAGAATAATCACCATTAAAATGCTGCAAATTACCAAAAAAAAAAACAAACCTCAAATGAGAATTTTAAGACACTTCACAGCAATGAGAATTAGATTTTTGGTCATTATGGTATGGCAATTACAGTAAAATGCACTTAGTTGTGAAATAGATGCATTTCTAGGTTTTTGAATATCAATGTAAGAATATCATTTCTGCTCTCACTGGTGCAAGTGAAGAGAAGATTCAAGATCAAAGACATAAACCGCATGCTGAAAAATATATCCGTCACCTCAGTGGAAAAATTACCAAGAGAAGTTTGTATGACTGTATGTGTGGAAGATTCCTCTCATCACAGCAGCGACTTCAAAACACGAGGACGAAAGCGAGTGGAAAGTTCAGAAGAACAGCATTTATTTGAAACAGAAATCTTTTGTGGCATTATAAATGTTTTTACTGTCACTTTTGAACAATTTAATGGGTCCTTGATGAATAAAGCTATTAATTTCTGAGCCCAAACATTTGAAGAGTAGTGTAATTGTGGTTCCTCTTAAATGTATGAGCATTTTTGACAGACACAAACATTTGTGTGTGTGTCCTAACAGTGCAAAAAGCAGGAGGAAGAGCATGAGCGTGTAACTAACCAGGTCCTCTTGTTGTCGAAGAAGAGCACGAGGAAGAGATGCTCGCGCGCCTCCTGCGTCATCTGCTCTCCCAGCTTCAGCACCTCTATCGGCGGGACAGGAATCGGGACGCCCCGGTGGAACACACCCTCCCGTGGCATCTTGGGATCAATGATCTGTGGGAAGATATCACACGTCTCAAAATGAGAAGAGTGGACTGAAGCGGCCCCTGCTGGACACACACAGCAACAGCACCTTCTGTTGAACTTCGGTCGTAGAGGGAACAGAACTCAACATGTCTGATAGACTACAGGTGAAGTGCTGCAGTTAGATCCATTTGAGTATTTTGGGTTATTTGTTGTTCCACAGTCCAGCCCAGAACGGTACAACATGCCAATGGGAAAAACAAAACCTAATGTGCTCCATCAAAATGAGTTATTATATATTAAATACTTGTTTTGGCTGTTCAAATGTTACTATGGAATTACAACTATTGTTTTTTAGCTCTGCAATTCAGATGGAAGCAATGCATAGTGTCTCTGATCAGCTCCTCTTTACAACAAAATTACAGTGTATAAATAAATTAATAATGAACATCAGATGAGATGTAGAGAGCGTTTCAACCTCGGAAAGATGCTATAAAACAACATGCACCTCAGGAGAGCCATGTGCATAGATTTTCATTTACTTCAAGAGCATATAGATGAAATCATTTTACATATATGCACTGTATTTCACATGCATGATATTTTAGTCAACCTGTCTTAAGAGTTTAATGTATGCATGAATACATCTCCTAATTTGGTCAAAAAATGCCAGAACAGTTTTTATGACAGCCTCCAGGATTATCTTATCAACGATCTAGAGCAGAAACAGAGGCTTTCCTTTTCATTCAGTGCACGAAACTCAAAATGTGAGAGTCAAACCCACTCAAACTGATGGAGCCGGCCACATTTATTTCTTTGGAGTAATGAGCAATACATTCTTCAAAATGACTGCTGCTTCATGCTTCCTTTTTGGAATGAAACACGACTCCGACATGTTCATCGACAGGCTTCATGAGACTGATCAAATGAAAGCAGAGTGAAAGCGCTTGCCTTGAAGTCTGCGTTAGGTGCAGCTTTCGTGGACGAGAGCATGCAGTGTGACACTCACCAGAGCGGGGTATGATGGGTATCCTCTGCACTTGGCCCACACCAGATCCAGAGCGTCCAGAGAGCTGTAGTCATCTGAACCCATCCAGCATCCAGAGCGGCCCCGGCCCCGAACCACTGCAAACACACACACGGGTCAGGCCACAGACAGAACGCATGCGGGCCGGTCTGAAGTGCGTCTGCTGCACTCACAGTGAGACACTCCTCGGGATCCTCCCATGGAGTAGGAGTCATTCTCCGTGCCGGACGTTTCCTCGCTGCTGTCCTCCTGAAAGGCAGAGCGTGAGAACGAGGCTTTTCCACGGCCCTGTTTAGAAGGAGTGGTGCTGCCGAGAGAAGAACAACAGCAATAGATGACACTCGCATGATCCGCATGCACACATCACCCCGCTCTCTTCAAACAGATCAACAGCTATTTGTTCGTGTGTGTGTGTGTGTGTGTATGCGAGTGAGTGTGTGTGTATGTGTGTATGCGAGTGAGTGTGTGTGTGTGTGTGTGTATGTATGCGAGTGAGTGTA